ACTTCGATTTCACTATTCACACGCGACCAAGTAAGCTTCGTTGAGTCAAATTAAGGGACGGACCATTAGAAAAGTGATGGGGGGGGGGTAAATTTTTTTTGTTTGCATTTTTTTTCCAGGTTGTCAGCTGTGTATGCATGTTTTTTTTAAATATGTCTTCTCGCATGCAATTTTTTTCCAATACAACTATACAAATGTTAACGAAACTGTTCTCTTGACAAAAAATATCCCTTTAATACACACTGCAAAATTATATCTTTAAGCACCATATATGGACAAGTTTTCTAGGGGTCCAGAGCATGCTCACCCGGAAAATTTTTTAATCTAAATTCTCTGAAATACCATTTCCCGGACTTTGGGGAGAGATTTTACAGAATTCTGATGGTCAGAAAACGCCATTGTAACATATCAGAGGCCCTTGGCCAATGTTTTTGCTCTATAGCCTGAGCCTGGGGCCCCCCATTTGCGGGCCCATTGGGGTTGGGGGCCCCCGGATTCTCCCAGTCCGAGCCCATAGTAGTTACGCCACTGAGGACAGTGGCAGTGTGAATGAGAATTAATTATTAAATACAATAGAAAATATTTTGATAGTATATAATAAAACTACATAAGAGTTACTGTTAATATTGAAAGAAATTGCATATTAATATATTATATATTTTGATATATTTATATTCTGAAATATTCCAAAGATTTAGTTCAATTTTGTCTGATGTACATTTAAAATTAAAGTTATATTGTTGTTCTGTTTGTAATTTTTTTTTTAAACAAGTCTGTTTGCATGTATTTTTTTTCAAACCTTTTTTGTTTGCATGGATTTTTTTCTGTTTTTTTCCCCACCCTCCCCATCACTTTTCTAATGGTCCGTCCCTAAGGATCCACATTATTGAGAAATCATTAAAAATCAGGTCTTTCCTGCAGTAAATAATCTTCAGAATTATGCAAAATCTCTCCCCAGAAACACGGGAAATCACCATTGAGGGACTCCAGATTTCAAAATTTTCCCGGGGGAGAATGCCCCCGGCCCCCCTAAAAAGGCTTACGGCTTTGGCGTTCTAAATATGCCCTCCCAAAAATTATAGTCTGGCTACACCACTGCATTCACGGGTCACAAAAATACCCTTTCCCACCCGGCTCATTAATATCGCTCTGATTCTGAATAAAAATCGCAGTTTATAATACGTATTGGGAACACTGATACGATTGGGAAACGTGAGAATTTGTATATAGATGCCATTACGCCAATGCAAAATGGGTTACACACTTTAATACACTTGATCCAATTTTGATTGGGGCTATGGTCGACTACATTTCGTAGACCATAGCCACGTATAAAATGGGCCAAGTATAAAATTGGCCAACTATAAAATGGGCTGTGATAGTTATATCATAGAATAGGAAGGTATACCAGAAGTCTCACTCAAGCAAGTATTTGTCCGCGTTTTTACAAGCGATTCGTCCGATCATCAATCACGCCATCACTGCGCCATCCTGGCTAGTACAACCGGCACTTTGTACCTATCAAAACCTGATAAAAACTTCCGGCTGTACTATAGCCAGGATGGCGTGAGCGAGTTAAAATCACTGTGGTTAAAATTTTCGTGGGTTGCACTTCTGGGGCCGGTTGTATAAAAAAGTGATTAAAGTTAACTATAGTTAAGTGCGAACGTCATCCAATAAGAAGCGCCTATTTGAGAGTTAATCATTATTTAACTACAAAATAGTGATTAAAAAAGTGATTAAGAGTTTTATACAACCAGCCCCTGCTATACTTTCCTATTTTGTGGTTATATGCTGTATATTCAAATACATTCTTGAACCGGAATATAACCATACGTGGTTATTATTGTTAACGCTATAGTAAAAATTAAAAAAAATATCGTGCACGCGGCAAGATTCGATAAAAAAAATCGTGCGGAGTCGGTGAGGTCCAAAAAAAAATCGAGCACTCTCAAAAATGCGCCCCCCCCCCATGAAAAATCAAATGGTCCGTCCCTTAGCTATGTCCTGTGAAAATTTGAGAAAAATTGGTTAAAACCCGCAGGAGAACAACTCGTTTGTAAATCAGTAAATACCGTAAAATTCTTCGGGAGAAAATTGATTTTGAATATTACATTTTCAATGTTTTTCTTATTGCAGCGAAATGTATTTTATTAAATAACTCTGCGAGTTTTCAACATTTTTCGATGAAACTTGGTCAGATAGTAGAACTAGTCTAATGCTTTCATGGAAACCAATAAAAAAAATTTTAGGCAAAATTAACACTCAAAGGTGTTCTGTAACCTTAAAAAATCATGCAAGATGAAAATTCCCCACCCACCCCATCACTTTTCTAATGGTCCTCCGCCCCCAAACTGTGGATAAACTAAGAGGACATTAAAATCCGAAAACGAGGTGAATTTTATACGGATAAAAACCAAACATACATCCCTGCAATGGTTGCAAGTATGTCTGTTATAAGGTTGATTAAAAATAGCATTGTTACAACATTGTTACAAGCCTGTGGCTGTGTAAACTTATACATCTTAATATTGCGAGATTTTTCACGTGTATGTTTGGACCTAAACGTCATGCTGCTTCGTAGAGTTTCATGATCAGTTTCGTTAGAACTTTATGACAAAAATCTTCGGCTCAACGCCAGATTTGTACGCTTGTATGTCAAGACTTATTACAGTGGAGTGGCAGGATTGTACAAGTGCTCTGGAGCGGCGTAACTCCTTTGGGCGTTGGCTGGGTGAAGCCAGAGGTCCAAGGGAAACAAAGATGACACATTTTGCATCTTTTTGACGTAGCCAAAATGGGCAGGACCTATTCCAGTTTAAGCCGGGCCCTTCAGCACAAAGTTACTCCACTGGCACTGGTTAATGTACGAAGACCGATAACGCTATACACCGAATTGTGATTTTGCAGCCCAAAATACCTGAAAAGCTGTCCCACAATATAATTACTTTATAATATATATATAATTAGTTTATTCTATACCAAGCAAGGACGAAGTTAGAAAGCTTAAAACCGGTTTAAAACGTATAGCCTCACCCAGCCCCTGAATTGCAACATGGCACACATGTAAATTGATTTTGTTTAAAACTTTACTTTACGCTAAATAAGGTACATTAATTCTATACACTTATATATATTTCTCCAATAATTGACATCAATTCATTTAAATTACATTGTATAATTCTGTACAGTAAACATTGTCAAATATTTCTATACGTTTTAATATAGTTTATATATATTCAGTCGAGTTATCCAGGCACAGCCCGACAACCATTACTGACAAATAGCGGACACCTTAGCTGACAACTTGCTGAAGGTAAATCGCATACAATTATCCCAGTTCAAGCAATGGAGTTTCAAATTATGTTTTCCTGATCAGATTTCAGTTCCATTGGCATTGCAAACGCAATGCTCAATATTGTACAAGCGTCGTATGGAATTAGGTTGGAAAAATCCTGGTAGAATCAAAAATTCAATTCAGAGTTTTCCTCTGATTAGATAACGTATTTCGCACAAATTACCTTTTCAAATTGTCATTATCATAGTAAGGTCAGTAGCGTCACTACAGCCTGGACACAGACTAACACGTCCGCAAATGACATAACTCAAAACTCCATAACTCAAGCCATACGCAAAGTAGTAAGAAAACTCGATGGAATACAATAGATACTCATTAAATATCTACTGTATAATGGTTTAGCTTTATATTCAAAAATACTGTCGGTCCATCGTCAAGTGTGCATTGTATTTTCGCTCAACCAACAGCAATGTTTCGTCCAAACCACCCGGTTTTTAACCAAACGGTTAAAAAACGGTTTTCAAACACACTACATTGGACCGACGAAAATATAATACACACTTAACGATAAACCGATCATATTTTTGTATAAACGCACACATTGTATTGCATCGAGTTTCCTTCACTTGTTACTATACAAGCATAACTGTTTTGACGTACATTTGACGCACGTCGCAAGTTCCTAAGTCCTACACACGCAAAAAATGTAAACTGGCCAGCCTAAAAATTCTGTATTTAAATTTTCATGATACAGGAGACTCGTCCACTCCTCACTTCATATAGCAGTACAAGTTGTGTTTTATAGTATGTCCATAATGAGGACTACGTATACCAACAGTTGCACAAAATTCCTCGCTAACATAGGGTCAGGGACAAGTCAAACTGCTCTGAGAAACCTGCCATTTTGTTGGGACAATTTTTTTACTTATATCAGTACGGCTCATCCCATGCACGCAGTTCAAATAAAGAACAATGCCAGGTCATCAAGAACGAAGGTTGTTTTAAATTATCAAAGTATCGAAGTAAAGTTAGATAAATGTATGTTAGATATGACGGGTTGCTTTCAGACCAGTAGTGTCAGATGACGATGCCATCAAATGACGTTTACCATGTCTTTTTTAACTATTTCACTATAAAAAGTCATACCTTACGTCTATTTCAACCTGGAAATTTAATTGATAAACTAACCAATCTTCAGTCCTGTACGATCTCGACGTGCAAACGTAAAAACGTTTTACATGCGCACGCTGCAAAACGCAAATATCGAAGGTATAGACTATACAGGGTGTATAAAAAAAAACTGAACAGATTTGAAATTGCTCTCAATTTCGCAAAACACCTATTTGTATCCGGTTTTTTATATATATAGTTTTTTTGGGTACTTATATAAATGTCGAATAATGAAAAAAATTTCTCGAACTCAAATTTTGTGAACCAGGGGGGGGG